GTGCTCGCACCTGTCGACAACTCAACTCGCCACAATGGTCTCAACCATCGTCGTATTATCCGTCTCCGCCATCACAAAACACGTGGACTCCGTCACCACCGATGCCACCTCAACATTGGCAACCAAGAGCTCACTATACCGCTTCCACAAACTACTCCCAAGCCCCCTGGCTTTTAGATAGTGGAGCGACACACCACATTGCCACCGACATGAGTAATATGTCCATCACGGGATCGTACAATGGAGGTGACGAAGTAATTGTTGGTAATGGAGCAGGCTTACCAATCACCACTACGGGTTCTACTACTTTTCCTACAACTACAAAGAATTTATTACTTGACAATATTCTTTGTGTACCAAATATGAAAAAAAATCTTATTTCGGTGAATAAGCTATGTCGGTCTAATGGTGTTATGGTTCAAATGTGTCCTAATGATTTTCAGGTGAAGGATCTCAACACGGGGGCAACAATAATCAAAGGCAGAGCTAATGCAGGGTTGTATGAGTGGCCAACGATTTCTCCTGGATCTTCTTTTGCTTCAGCTTTTTCAATTTCAAAAACGTCTAATTCCGCTTGGCATGCCCGTCTTGGACATCCAGCAAATTCTATTATTCAGTTGATTTCTACTCGTTCTAGGATTCCTATGTCTTTCAAAACAATTTGCAATGCTTGTTCTATTAATAAGAGTCATAAACTACCGTTTTCTCAATCATCGCTCAAGTCTCATTCTCCACTTGATATTGTTTTTTCTGACGTATGGACTTCACCAATTTATTCGATTGATGGATATAAATATTATGTTATCTTTGTTGATCACTATACAAGATATACATGGCTTTATCCAATCAAACAAAAATCTCACGTTGCTACCATTTTTCCTATCTTCAGGGCATTGGTTGAGAATCGGTTCAAGACAAAGATCACCACGTTATACTCGGATAATGGTGGAGAATATATTGGCTTGCGGTCCTATCTTGCCAGTCATGGAATCTCTCATCTCACGTCACCACCACATACACCGGAACACAATGGCATTGCGGAGAGAAAACATAGACATGTTGTGGAGACGGGCTTATCGTTGCTATCTCACGCCAAATTACCACTTGAGTACTGGTCCTATTCGTTTGCTGCCGCGGTATTTCTTATCAACAGAATGCCTACACCGATTCTCTCCAATGTCTCACCATATGAAGCTCTATTTCATTCCGAACCAAACTACACAAGACTTCGTGTATTTGGTTGTCTTTGTTATCCATGGCTTCGCCCCTACTCACAACACAAGCTTTCTCCTCGTTCAGTTCCATGTATTTTTCTTGGATATTCTCTAACACAAAGTGCTTACATTTGTTATGATCTTTCATCGTCAAAAATTTTTGTGTCTCGACATGTAGAATTTTTTGAAGATGAATTTCCCTTTCCAAATTTCATAACTTCGTCTAACACTTCCCATGAGTCTTCTTCTTCTGTTTCCCATCCTGTGTCTACAACTCGGGTCTATCGTGAGCCACTCATCACCAGCTCAGCCCCTAGTTTGGATCCTTCCCCAACGTTACCACCTTCCGAGACGACACATGACACCAATTCACCGGCTACTACGTCCGATCAAGAAACTGAGCAAGTAGAAGATCATGTTGTGGAAGACAACAATGTTGTTGAAGAACCGGATCCTCTCCCAGTTGTCCCGGCAAATGTTCATCCAATGGTGACAAGAGCCAAGAACAACATTCGGAAACCAAACCAAAAATATGTGAATAATGTCACACTTGCGGAGGTAGAACCGACTTCTCATGTTCAGGCCATGAAAGATGAAAGATGGAGAAATGCTATGGGAGCTGAATTTGACTCTATTGTTCGCAATGGTACGTTCACACTCGTAGACCCACGTCATGCATCTAATGTTGTTGGAAATCGATGGATCTTTGTTATCAAGAGGAAACCAGACGGGACAGTTGATAGATTCAAGGCGCGACTTGTTGCGAAAGGCTTTCATCAACGACCAGGCATAGACTTCCAGGAAACATTCAGTCCGGTTATCAAACATGTGACAATACGTGTAGTTCTTGGACTAGCAGCTCGAAAAAATTGGGTTTTACGACAACTCGACGTGAACAATGCATTCTTACAAGGGAATCTTAACGAAGAAGTATATATGAGTCAACCACCGGGTTTTATTGACAAAGACCGTCCACACTTTGTATGTCGTTTACACAAAGCGATATACGGATTAAAGCAGGCTCCGAGAGCATGGTATAATGCGTTGAGAGATTTTCTTCTAAGCAATGGCTTTGTTAATTCATTGGCGGATGCGTCGGTTTTCATTTTTCACAAGGGAGAAGTTCTCATATACATGCTAGTGTATGTTGATGATATTGTTCTTACGGGTAATAGTGCTAAAGCAATTGATGGCTTTATACAAGCTCTCTCCCATAGATTCTCGCTCAAGGACATGGGTGAGCTCTCATACTTTCTCGGTCTTGAAGTCACACGCACGTCTGCCGGCATACGTTTGAATCAACGGAAGTACACGACTGATATTCTCACCAAGTATAACATGCTTTATGCTAAACCAGTGCCTACTCCGATGACTTCTGCGACGAGTCTCACAGGTTCTGATGGGGTTAGTTTGTCGGATCCGACCGAGTATCGTGCTGCTGTTGGGAGCTTACAATATCTTGCACTCACGAGACCTGACATTGGCTTTGCGGTTAATAGGCTATCTCAATTTATGCATAAACCTACAACAGTTCACTGGGATGCTGTCAAACGTGTGTTGCGGTACCTTGCTGGTACAGTAGATCATGGTCTATGGTTTTCGTCTCGTGCTTCCTTGGATCTTAAGGCTTACTCTGATGCAGATTGGGGCGGTGATAAAGATAACTATTCTTCCACGGGCGCATACGTTGTCTATCTAGGATCACATCCCATTTCTTGGTCTTCTAAGAAACAAAAAGGTGTCTCTCGATCATCAACCGAAGCGGAGTATAGGGCTGTTACGGAGGCTGCCTCTGAAGTCAAGTGGATTGTCTCGCTATTATCTGAACTTCGAGTTAGACTCCCGACGACTCCGATAGTTTTTTGTGACAACATTGGTGCTACGTACTTGTGCGCTAATCCCGTGTTTCACTCTCGGATGAAACATCTTGCATTGGATTATCATTTTGTTCGAGAACTCATTCAAGATGGAGTCATACGAGTAGTTCATGTTAACTCCATTGATCAACTAGCCGATGGTCTCACTAAACCACTTCCGCGGGCTCGATTTCAAGATCTTCGGGTCAAGATTGGAGTAACCAATGGTTCTCCATCTTGAGGGGGCATGTTAGAGTAGTAGATATATATGAAAATATTCCATATCTTCTTGTGTATATTTTAGAGAATATCTTCTAGAATTCTCTAGAATATCTCCTTTGTAACCTATAAATATAGGACTCCTTATTCATGAATAATACACAATTTTACTAAACCTACAATAATTTCATAATTATATAGTAATTTTTTTTTTTTTTTTGTCATCATTATATACACGTAACTATAATTTCATAATTATATACACGTAACTATAATTTCATAATTATATAATTTCGTAACTACGCAATTGCATAGTAACAACAAAACCACACGTTTATAAAAAAAAAGAACAAAACCACATAAGTTATATTACTCGAAAATATCAAAATCACACAATTTCATCGATTACAAAACGTAATATTTCATAGATTTTATTAGTCCGTTTTCTTACAAATCGATCCTATAAAATAATCACTATTACCATACACATGATAAAATGCATGTAGACCATTGAGCCTATTCTTCTAATATATGACCTCAAATATTTGGGTAGTGAAATTAAACTTGACTTGACATAAAAAAAAAAAAAAAAAAAAAAAAAAAAAAAAAAAAAAAAAAAAAATTTAAACTTGACTTTGGGCTATAAGTTTAATCATAGGATTTTGATCCAGAGTTCAATTAAAGCGTAAGTTCTAAAAAGTTTCTAAAGTACTTAAGAGTGCTAACACCAATTAAAGTTTTTCTAGAGAACTATATCTTAATATCTATATAAAAAAAAAATAAAAGATTTGTAAGATAAAAAGTTTAGCTTACGTAGCGGAATATTTTCTAGAGATTATGATATAATAAATAAGATATTTTCTAATTTTGGAACATATAGCTAGTTCTTCTTTCTTTCCTTTTCTAACAAAATCAAACAAGTTAAATAAAAAGATATAAAATTGTTCTTTAAATTCCTTTAAACTCGGTGTATTTGAATCTAGACTTCTATTTTGGAGATTACTAGTTAAAGCCGCTGAGAGAGGAAAATTTCACTGTTTTCCATGGATTTTATGGTTTTTATGGAAAACCAGGAATGAAAAGGTATTTTAAGGTATATAATCTGAACCAATAGATATAATAGATCACGCTTTAAGTGAACAATTAATCTGTGAAGAAACTCAATTGATTCCGATCGAATCAGTTGAAAATAGAGAAACATTCAACAATTATACTCAAATTCTAATATGTCGGATTGACATTTCGTGGAAACAATTGGATCCTACCATAAGTTTAGGATGGTGGTGCTTTCGGAGAGACCATCTTACAATTCTATTAGGAGCAAAATGTCACCGGACGAGCTCATCTCTTCTTCACGCGTAAACAGAAGCTCTTTTATGCGGTATGAAAATGATCCTCTTCAAAAGGATTGATTGTCAGATATTCAAGATAGATAGTACAAAACTAGTTTTGATGGTGCAGGCGCCGGAGGAGTGGCCCATTCCAATCAGATAGACGAAATTGGTTTGCTTCGTGATTCATTTCCTTCTTTCTTGCTTTCTAATATTCCTCGCTCATGTAATGTGATATATCATGGATTTTACCGTTTTTATCCATGATATATATGTCAATTTTAGAGTTTTTTTGTTATTTCTAGAGTCTTTTCTAGTCCTTTTCAGGTCTTTACACTAGGCCTGGGAATTCGAACCGTTCGGTTTATTCGGTTTCGGTTACTCAGTTTTTCGGTTTTTTTGGAAGATGAAAGCTATTCCGAAATTAACCAATTAAGATTTCGGTTCGGTTCGGTTCGGTTCGGACACAGTTTATTTCGGTTTTTGAATTCGGTTATTTCGGTTAAAAGAATTTGGGCCAAATAGTCTATAATGGGCCAAATAATTTTTAATGGGCCAATCCAAAACAAAAAAAAAGGTTTAAAAAAAATGTATTGAAAAAAAAAAAGACGAAGAAGATGAATCGAGGAGGAGATGCCAGCGGCTGAGATCTCCTGAAGCTCGCGGTGTAATCGGCGAAGCAGATGATTGAAGAAAAACAGGAGAAAAGAAGTGTAAATCAAAGAAGAACATGATGATGACGAAACAGAGAAGAAGATGATGATGATGAATGGTGAATTGAAGAAGCAGCAAACAAATCAGAGAAGAAGAAGATGATGGTGATGATGAATCGAAGAAGAAGAGAGAGGGTTATGGAAAGAGAAGATCAAGAACAAAATAATTGAAGAAGAACTCAAGAAGCGTAGGCGGCTGGGATATTAAGGTTAGGGTTTTTGGTTTCTTTGGTTAAACCGAAAATTTTGGTTAACCGAATCAAAATTTAAACATTCTGACCGGTTTTACTCAATTAACAAGAACCGACCGATTTGTCCAAATCTCGGTTCGGACAAATCGGTTTGGTTCGGTTCGAATTCCCAGGCCTACTTTACACGTTCAGAACCAATTTGGAGATTATGGATCATTCTGGAGCAAAACCGAGAAGTTATGCCACAAGAGCAATCCGGAGACCAAATACGTGCAAATGTCGATCGACACCACCCCTACTATTGGTCGACACCAACATCTGACGGCAATTCGATTTCGAGTCTCTTTGAAGTTATGAAGATTTGCAGAATCTCCCCAGAACATTTCTCTATTTACAAAGAAGTCTCTGCACGTTTTTAAGAACATATAAATAGATTTTTAGGATTTTGTTTTAGAGACATCTCTCAATCTCTTATTCTGTTGTATTCTTTGGAACTTGAACTCTTTGAGAGATAATTGGAGAGAGCTCCTCCAGAGAAGATCTTTCTTAACTCTATTTTCTTCTTTGTTTTCTTAATGCAATTCTATTCAATCATTTTGTTTGTTTCAATCTTCATGTCTGAGTAGTTTGCTTGTTAGGTTTAGGGATTCTCATTAGGGATTTAATTAGATGAATTAGTAGATCGATTACATGTTAGGATTAATCTTTAGAGTTCTTCACTTTATGTTGTTCTTAATGCTAGTTCTAGAGTAGCTAACTAGAACTTGATCATAGGATAATAGGTAGATTCAAGAGGTCACCTGTTACTGGAACTATATTAGGTGGGCAAAAATTAGATACATTCGAGAGGTGGTCTAGGAATATCTGTGAACATATCAAACCTGTTATTAATGCTAGTCTAATTCTAGGAGTTTACATTCGAGAGGTGGAACTTTCTGATATTAGGTTTAGTTAGTCAATACATTCGAGAGGTGATTGACTATACATTAGTGATTTGAGTTCTAGAACAGTTCGATAAATAATCCTAATTAATTTGTTAGATTTACTATTAGTCTATTTCCTGAGAAATCCCTAAAGCTGACGTTTTCCTCATCTGATTTAAAACCCGATTTACTTGCTTTGCTTTTATTTGATATTCTTATTTTTTGTTTAGCTTAATTCAAAACATGTTAGTCTATTGTGTGAACACGAGAGCTTTGTGGAATTCGACCCTGAAGTGCTACACACGATCTCTTATTTGAGAGAGTAGTCTTAGGTCTAATTTGACTCACATCATAATGATAAGACATATTGCCTAGCTAGTTACTCTAGAAGTTTATTTTCTAAAATTTCATCTGTAAACACTTTTCCTCCAGATTGAGCAACCAATCGTGGAATGACTTTTTAAATAATGTATGGTTGACAAAAAAAAAATCTCTTAAGTTTCTTTTTATTTTATTTTTCTTCATACTAAGAAACTTATTCTCTTGATTTTTTCAGACATTATTACAATTTTGGAATAATGCTAAGTCACTATCAAAGTTTATATACACCTAGGGCCTCCATAGGTAATAAGATGACCTACATGTGCCCAAAACGTCTCTATTGTATCTCTCACTTCATAACAACTGTCTGAATACCTCTCTGTGTTTTCCACAATTTGGTCGGTATTATAATTTTCGTCTACAGTCGTGATCAAACGGACATATGAGTCTTCTATGGGGCTCCCCGTCGGATACTGACTATTTCCCATCGGAGGATTTGGAGGCGAAGGGCTATAGACTTCACCACCCCATTCGACCCTTGTACCAGAACTTTCTTTGAATCTGCTTGATGGCCAGAACCCAATTTCTTCCAAGGAGGTGCCCATCAACAGCCACCAATTCCCGTTGATTTTGTCCTGTACCCAAACTTTAAATTATAGCAAAAAAAAATTTGGGGAACCGCGATAATCCATATCTGATCTCATTTTTGTTAAACTATAATTGACAAAAATTTTCATTGAATTTAATTTTTGAATTATTTTAAAATTTTAATATGAAAAATAATTTAGATATATTGGATGTGATACAAATATCCTAACACTAAATTTTTAGTACCCATATCCATATTCATATTTGCATACATCTACATATTACTATACATACCATATACTCAAACGTTCTTGAATGCCCGAATATACAGAGTTATGAGTACAATAGTTAGAAAAGAACTTACCTTCATTATGGTGAAGTCAATACCTTTTTTCCCAGTAAGTAGACCAGGAGTAAAATCTTCACTAACTAGTATCATTCCGGATCCATTTGGACAGAAGGGATTATAACACTCATGTCCTCCTGACTGAATCAAACCATATAATATGCGACTTTAAATCATTGAATTATCAATTATGCATAAGTCGTGTATATGGTATAAATTATATAAAAACAAGATCTAGTCCGCTCACATTTGTAAATACGAATAGCCGCGAGTTAGAGTCATGGTATAATTGCGGGTGTACCTAAAATGAATAGAAAATATGATTCATATACATTAATAATAGAAAAAGATACACCATAATACATCGAATATAAAAAATAGCGGATCTGAATTTATATTAACTTACGGTCCAACCAACTTGGATGAATTCATTTCCAATTTGAAAATGCATCCGAGTAGAGCTAAATTGCATAGGTTCAACTGAAGGAGTGAATGCATTAATATTCATAGACGCACCATTGTAACTCCTAGGTTTCCCTTTAGTAGTCCGCACCACAGCAAACTGAGTAGTGAATACAATGGTTGAGAAAACTAACATTGTGATATGGCTAAATTGTAATGCTCAGAAATTAGAATCAATATCTTATAAATTGGTATAAGTAATTTGAGTCAATAGAAACCACATTTTTGATGTATTCAAATATAACAGTATCAAATAATAGATAATATTAAATTATGAATTACAATATACAATTACTTATATTTCCTAATGTATCATCCACCATATATAAACTTTCCACGAAATATTAATCAAAATCACGTGTTTGTAATAAAGCTATACATTATTAACATGAATTTTTTGTAATATTTTTGTATTCATCAAATTAAAAAAAAAATATTAATCATTGTTTTAGTTAATAATTATGTGCAAACATTTTCATCTATAATTTTAGCTTTTCCACCAATCTTATTATTATAAAGTTCTATTATATATTCTTAACATTTCTTACTCGTAAGATAAAAACTTAAAGAAAGCACTTACATGATGACTTTCAATAGAAGATGTAGGTTTATAGGTTTTGCTCCACGAACTTTGCGGATTAGAATTATCGCCATCGAAAGATTTCATTTTCAAAAGAGCCTCTTTATTGACTCGAAGTATAGGAACGGTACCAATAGGACAGCCTACGCCATTCTCCCAAAAGTGACCAAATGTTTTGTTACTATGTGTCTCTCTTTTCATTTTTGACCCTCCGAGGTATGATATACGCATCTGCACATCAAAATCCAATATAAATTAATTAATTAGTCATACCAAAATTATATTTTAATAAAGGTACTCTTCTTAAATTAATCTACTATAAAAAATGTAAATTGAAAATCAAAAGTACATTTTTGAAATATCACTCGCTAATCAAAATACCGTATCAATTACTTATACTTCATATTAAATATTTTAAAAATTTTGGGTCATTATATGTGTATCCAATATCAGTTTTTAAAAAAGAAGGTAGCTTAGTTATTAGAAAGAAGTTTACCAAATAGCAATAGGGAAGATTGCAATAAAGAAAATAACAATAATTTGAAATATAAATTTGCATTTTATCTTTTTATTTTAACAATTACTGGAAACTTTACTTTTCTTTATGTAACATGTTATTTTGTTATATAGAAGTCTAATGTTTCACAAGGTAGGTGATATTTATTATTCATTACTGTTTTATTTGATTATGTAGACGTCTAACTTATCACATGACGTTCAAACCAAACTAAATCCTAAACTTAAATTCTTATTAGATTCTAATCTCCAATCTAGTGGACACACACAAAAATTACTTATCTCGTAATAATTACTAATTAATAAAATAATAAAAATAATCCAAAAATTATATCAGTCACAGTATTGCCAATTTCTTAATTACCATCTATTTACATAGAGTTGTAATCCTCTAAATATCAAGAAAATACATATTATCAATGCAATACCTTATAGTGAAATGTGTAGTTCTTCATGGATGAGTGGTCAAGTCCTGGTTGTTTGTAGAAATCCACGCAGCCATACCGCTCACCATTAATAGACTGCGTATTCATAAAGAAAAAAATATATTATCTGTTTTCATAATATTTCATAAGTGTTTCACGCATGATTTCATAACTTCTATCGTCTTTCTATTATACATATCCAAGGATACTTAGGATAAGAATTCTAATAATATATATATTTGATAAACACATTCAATTATTCTATAACATGGTGAGAAGATAAACCTTTATGATTTTAACCGCAGGTTTGTTGATAAGCTTAAGTTTTTGCTCTATTTCAAGATCTTTATTACTTTTTAATATCTTTGGTTCTTCTACAACGCCATGGCAATGACCCAATAGAAAGCTACAACATATAATATAGCACATCAATGGAAGTCCACACACTAATTTCATTTTCATCAACCTGTAGACTAGAAAAGTGAGATCATTAGTTTTTTTCTTATATATATATACAATTATTATTAAGATATAGTAGTTGGGGAAAGATTTGAAGAATTCATTTGGGATAATCACCTTCTCCCTATAAATGTAATATGTCTGAATGCTTCATTAGAGTAGAATATACATATATATATATACACTTAGTTAGGGGTTATAGACAAACTAATTACTTACAAATAGTAATTACATTTCCTTAAATCCATTCAAACCTAAATACATTGATATAATAGTATATATCTTTGAACCTTACACAAGTCAAACAAAATTTCTTCTTAAATTAAGTAATTTCTATCAATACATTTAAGAGATTTAGGGGGTGTTATTCAATGGTGGAGTTAAAGTCAATTCTTTAAGGTTTAGATTTGTTTTCTGATATTGGTTTTAAGAATCTGTTTGTGTGGATTTCAAAATCTCTGCAGTATATCTTGGATTTTGATTCTAATAATTTACTCATGAAACTCCAAAGAGGTTTCATTTGAAATGACTTAATATACAAAGATTTTACAAGTCTTTTAGTTTTGAATAACACTGGATTTTACAAACCTTAAAGAATTGACTTTAACTCCACCATTGAATAACACCAAACTTTTAAAATCTAATGAAGTATAAGATCTAATAACACCAGATTTTAACGTTAGATTTATAATCATTAGTTGAATAACACTGGATTAGTGTTGGATTTCAATTCTATTAAAATTCATCATTGAATAACACCACCTTACTGTTATCTTTAACGCTAATTAACTTTAACAACTGAAGGTTAGCATAATTAATTGGGGGACCATACATAAGTCAAACATAATTTCTTCTTCAACTAAATAATTTTCATCGATACATTTATGATATTTATTCATATCTTTGATGCTAATTGTTTTACACCAGCATGACATATTATTTTAACATTTTTCTTAAAAAGGAATCTGAAAATGATAATTTTAGTTAAGTATTTGTAATAAATTTATGTGTAGTTTGAAGATAGTAAATTTTTTGTTGCTTTTATAATCCTATTGTATAAAATATATTTATAAATAAATTAATTATATGTGTCGATTATTTTAACTAGAGAAATTAAATTCGAAACTTAATTTAACATTACTATCCTTATCGGCTAAAGCTGTGATTCATAAAACGGGAAAAATTACTAGGAACTTAAACCTTATTATTTCTAACATTCCTGGTGCAACAGTTGAGGGAGTAGTGAAAGGAATAGTTGATGAAACTACTGTTGAGGTGATAAAAACTAATTTATATCAATACATATAATATATTGTTAGTGATAATTAATTTTTTTACCGTACTTACAGGTCACTGCATATCCTTTTTATCATGATACCCTTTCTGCCAAGCTCTAGCAAACCAAGTTCTTTCGGTAAATCATTTTCTCCTGGCGAACAAAGTCTTTTTGGTGAATACAGTCCTTGAAAGTATGTTCGAACTTTTTTGTGCAACGATGATAGAAGTTATGAAGTTCAATATAAGTGATTTTAAATTGTTGTGTCTTATAACATCTAATGCTTAGCAAGTTTCAGAAATAGTAACTTATATATAAACTTTTGGCAGACAAAAATCATTAGTGAGGGACTGGCTAGAGAGTGCTTATTGTATTCAGTCATCTAACTATGAGATTAGTATTTCGTGATGTGACATATGAATTGTCAAAGAAGATATCACTCATGTCTTGACATGGAAATCGTAAGATCATGAAGAGAAATGTTCTCGAGCGATTATGAAGCATAGTGAACTTAAAGGTTATAGGGAATAAGGGAAATGGTTATTCATCCCAATACAAGCTGCAATTTTTGTTGCTAAACCATTGAGAAAGTGGTCTATGCTACAATACCGACAATATATAATCGTTAAACCATCCCAAGACATCGAACCTTCTTGCGCGCCCTATGTTTTTTGCGTACTAGTTCATATGTTATGAGGTTTTGTCCAATAGATTGGTTTTGATAAAAGGACCCGATTATCCTTGTTACGTGGGCAATCCAGTACTACAACATTGGGTAGAAATCACTTCCCCTCCACCAAGTATTTCTTCTGTGTTTGGTTTGGTGACACGCGTGGATAAGGATGGCGTTGTTTTAAGGTTCAAAGTGATTAGGTTAGTTTCACTGCTACCAACGAGTGATGTATTCTGAATTTGTTTGAATATTTATAGAGATACATTTTCACTCTCCGACACTTTAATGAAAGTGTTTGTGCGTTTAGGCACTTTCAAAGGAGAAGGTACTTTGCCAAGCTTAATTGTCCATATTGCCCTCAAACCAATTATCGTCTATTTCAAAACCGAAACCGTTTAGCAGCGACAATTTACCATCCCATTTTCCCATCTTCTTTACTATTTCTCGCACCCAGTAAAAACCCTAAATTCCTTGTTCTTTGCATGCTTAGACTTGGTCGATGATTTGGAGATCCGGCGATGTTCCCGGTTACATTCCTCGATTTCAGATTAATTACTCGTTCTTTGGTTCCACTTTGAAGTTTCCGTTATTAATATTCTCTAATTATCATCATCTTTCTCTACTCCGGCTACATTTTGCAGTCATCTTCAACATGAATATCCTTTTCTGCAATCCTAATTTTGCAGCCATCGTTAAGAGTTATCTCAGAATCTTGTTTTTTTTTACGTATGTTTTGAATGCTTTTTACATATAAATATTGTAAATATAGCATAATTTAAGTTCGAAAAGCTAAAGACTTTGAGTTTTATTTAATTGTTCGGTGGTTAAATCGATAATCTCAGAATAAAAATTGCTTTCTCACCATTTTCTCATTTTTTTTCAACTCGCCGGAAATCTGTTAATCTATTTAACTCTATTCTATCTACTTGATAATGAAGCAAAATCAATTATTGCACCACGAAATTTTAGATTTAAAACAAAATTTCTTTCGATTTTAGGATAAAGAGTAAATCTCCTTCGTTCTCGATTTATTTTATTTTTTCTCTTAAATTCGGATTTTCTGAATATTTATATATATATTTAAGTAAAAGAAATAAAATATAATCAATTTTTGTCGTTTATGTAGTTTGGTTGTAGAAAAAAAATTAAACCAACACAGTTACAAGAGCATTTTTGTCCAAAAAAAAGCCCAAATAGTCAAATGGTGATAACGCAACTTGACTTTGCCAAATGGTGAGAAGAAAACTCAATTTCTTACCAAACGTAAAAATTTATTTGAAAAAGAATCATCATTTGTTGGAGATGTGATTGCTTCTTTTCTCTAACATCCATAAGCGATACAAGTTTGAAAGTATAATACTTCACTCCTAGCCCAAAAAAAAAAAAAAACGCTTTCTCTTTTATGCTTTATCTTTATTATAACTTTTCATTCTCTGTTTAATCACTTACAAAAATGTTACTTTCATAAAAAAAAATGTTTCAAACGATCGTGTTATTAATAATAATTTTTCTCTTTTATAATTTTACTTATTTTAAAAAATTTTGAAAACCGTTTACAATATAACGCAAAAATTTGATAGAATTTACATAATATTTTAAGTATTAGTAATCAGTATCACAATAATTTAATACATAAACGTGATCCAAAAAGATTTGGTAATATTTGTTGAAAATGTGTCTGGTTCGTAACCTAGTTGTATATATAAGTCAAGTTGAGTGGTCATGGCATCGACATAACCAAAGCTAAGCTTATCATAAGAATTTCACAAATTGGAATATCATGGCCGTCTTTTAACATATACAAGTGGAGCAGGTTAACAGATTTCCAACTCAACAAAGAAAAGTTTGGATATAAATTAAACTACCAAATTAAAGTACAAGAGAAAATTAATATTTTGATCAAGTTTAGATATAGTTTTTGTTAATCCTAACTTTCTAAATCTTAACTGTTGTTGGAGCTTGTACCACAAGAGTTTATACAACACCGATTAGAGCTGTCAAAATAGGCTGTCCACGTCCATTAGCCCGGTCCAATATTGACCATTTTAGTTATGGACAAATAGTGACCATGTCCATTAACGCCCATGTCCATTAAGGACCATGCCCATTAATGCTCATGTCCAAATGGGCTGTCCATTGGTCACCACTAGAACAAATTTTTAAAAAAGCAAATTTCTGCAAAAGTATCAAATTCAATCTAAAAGTCTAAAACAAATATCTAAATAAACAATAAAGTATCAAATCCAAAAGCAAATCATAGCAATAAAGTATCAAATCCCTAAATTATCTATGATTTCGATTTTAAGAAACTTAGTAAATAACTAAATGAGTTACGATTTTTCTCCAAATTGATTTGACCTAACATTTTGAGTGCATTGGGCCGTATTGAGCCGCCCATGTCCATGACGTCAAGTCCATTAACGCCCATGTCCATTAAGGACCATGGCCATTAACGCCCATATCAAAATAGGCTTGTCCATGACCGGTCCAATAGGTGTTGGACACGGACAGCCCATGGGTGGCCCGCCCATTTTGACAGCTCTACCACCGATGAACCTTAACCCAACTCATTTCCTTTTTCTATGCACTCGCACGAGCAAAAGTACGGATCGGAAGGTAGGTGTCGTAAGACATAAAGAAACGAGTGGACACTTTTTTTTCTAAAAACGCCATTTTTTTTCTCTTAAAACGCCATTATATGACTTCTTTTAAAATCAAATATCAAGACTTGGATAGATAATACATAACTTAGTGTGACAATCATAGATTACTAGATCTTCTAGCTACTTCCTTTTTGCCTCACTCGAAGAATTATAAACCTTGTTGGATTTGAACCAAAGTTGGAACATAATTGTCGACAAGTGAGCATCGAGATTCTGCATCATGATGATCCACTTGTATACATTTATCCTTTCCCACAACGTGTAAGAAAACGTCAGAGACCCAATATTTACCGCGACACACCAAAACTTTGTTCTCCTGGTCGACCAAGAAATTCATCCCACGAGCAAAGCAAAAAGGCTTGTAGAGATTTGCTAAATTAACTGATAGGAATTTTCTCCATGACGCAGCTCCCGTACTCTCAATCGTAGTTGCAATCCATACATCTATATGGAGTTCTTGAATGATGCTCCGAGTAGCTATACAAATTTTTGGATCTTCTCTAGTAACTGATAAAGCAAAAATACGATCAGGAAGATGATCACCCGGAAGAGATACCCTTGCAAAACTCTCTGTTGAAAAATCAAAACCAAGTTTAAAATGCCCACTTGTGAAGTCGTTAGTAGAAGCAAGCCAGTAAGTGTTTCCATTAACAGACATGCCGCGGTCCGTACACCGCGGTATGAACCATTCCCTAATTATCTTACCAATAACTCTCCAAGAATTAGAGTTAAAGTCATAGATTTCGTAGTCAAGTAATACTGGGCTAGTATAATCAAATTGATCCATCCTCAAGATTTTGTACTTGTTGCATGAGGATTTACCGAAAGCATAGATATCGAATTTCTTGTAGGAATTTCTTGGTTGGATCCACTTAATTTCACATGAACACGGATTCGAAACAACTAGTCTATTGTCTATGGTGGTGCATAGCAATAAGCCGTCGCAATGAAAGACTTTGCAAATATCAATCTAAAGAATCAGAAAGAGGATCTTTTAGGCTAAATTGACTTATTACCTTTACCTTGTTGTTGTTAATCTCATGGAGATCGACGCTCACCAGATAAACCCTAAAAGCAATCAACATGATAATCAGAGAGTGCCTTGGTGCATTAGCATAGTGTTTCTTAGCAAATCTCCCATCTTTGATCAGAACGTTCCATCTTTTGGATGTAGTTCGTAATCGTACCAAAGATTCCGCCGGAACCCTAGAGAGTATCTCCACTACCAAATCCTCGGGAAGATCTATTCTGTTTCTCTTCTTCATCATCTAAAAAACAGATTGTTTAATGATAACTTGCTTCCAAAGAAACTAGGGTTGCAAGAGGAGGAGGAGATGAGAGACTTATGAGATAAACCTAATGCAGAATTTTTAAGTAATACAATTGTCGGTCAAAATTACAATTATTTCTTCGTAGTGAACATATATAATTGGTATCTTCCTTTTTAAGATAGATACAAACACTTTATGCATGTATTATGTGTTTTGAGATACTTTCTATTACAAACAATAGATTACAACATGTAGACAGACTACTAGACTGATGGAAACCACAAGAGGTCATCGCCGAAAATGGATATTGACGACAGAAGGCGGCATGAAAAGTGTTTGTTGAATAGAGATGGCAAGTGGTAAATGAGGATGGAACAAGAATGAACATATCTTCTTGCTTCGACCATCTGCAGTTCCACACTCTGGCCCTGTTCACCATTTAATATACAATCCCAACGTTAAATTGTGTTCTGTGCGGTTTGGTTTTTCGTCATCTTAATATCTAAGCAACTAAAACAGCCAACCTGGTTTTATCTTGAATTTCAGCGTTTGCGGTTGCCTTCGAGATATGAACTTGATTGGATTGTCTGAGGATTGTCTATGCCTATCTGCTGCGGAAATTAACTGTAACCATATCCGAAATTAACTTAAACTGGATAAACTCAATCCTGAAGTAGAAGAGAATAAGGGTTTAAATAATGGTTACCTTTTCGTCGAACCGGAAGAGAGATTGGTCGAAATATGGGGAGGGACTTTGTGACTGACAACTGAAAGGCAAAGAGAGCAACATCTTCTTCACAAACTGTGTAGAAAAATTGATTAGATTCAAGTCTCTATCTCTCTCTCATAAAAACCAACATATCGATATACAGAGATGTGCCAACCTGAGAAAAACTGTTTGATTTGTTTTTCATGTACTTTAGTTGTTCAAGAGCATGGACGCTGTTAGAATGCGATGTTACAAAGTTCATGAATGGCGTACTACTTGATACTGTAAAGTGATCACTGAACTGCTCAAATAATTGGTAAAGATCTTCTGCTGAGTTCTGCATAAATCAATATACTAAGTCAAGTTATAAGTAAATGCAATTTCCCACAAATTAACTGGCCAAAATCAATTTACCTGATAGAATGCTACAATGTCAGTTGTTTCCATATTATACACCGCGAAGAAAGCTGGATGATGATCAGCACTTCTTGTTACCTGATTAACCCATCAACATCATAAATCTAATCAACCAAATTGTAATTTCTGAAAATGACAGTATCAGTTCGATGTAACCAAAACTTGTATTATAGAGAGCTTACCCCACCATCTACACTGCCAAATTTGATTAGCAGGTGTTGTCGATCCAAAAACTGAACCTGGACATCAAGAATACGCGAAAGGTTAGGTTTTCTCTTCATCAAATGCAAACACTTGACACAGATTCCAAAAGCTAGAAGACATGATTGATTACCTTCCAAATAATCAAGTCGACATAATCCTGGAAATGGAAATAAAACTTCTTCTTAAGACTTTGAACCCTCTGGCAAATAAAAAATGTGTCTTTCGATTAGTTCATATCCAAGATGTAGTGTTTCAAAACGACATACATCGCAAATTACAAAGAAAGGTAGATAAATGCAACGAGCTTGTAAGATTAGCTGCATCAAGTAAGAAGTCACTGTCAACTGCATCAATCCTAAACCTTAAAATTCTGTTATCCTACTCAACATCTATGAGAGGAAGCAGTAACAGATTACGAAACTCAGAGCAATTTTATAAAGGAATAGAGAAGTTGAAGAACAACGAACCAGTACATTATCCGATTCTTCATTCCAAATCTCCCTGAATATAAAAGAAAGTAATCGTTGCTTAATACCACTAAGAAACGAATTCGTAGGATTTGGCTGAGGCTGACTATGATGCAACCCATTCTCCGCAACATCATCGTCATCCTTATTCCCCGATAAACTTTGCTGTTTGCTCTTATCTTGACTCATCATTGCCTAACATCAAAAACCTCACAAATCTCAAAACTTTATCTACTCCACAAGATTACAGAGAACAAACTCACTTACCTGAGAACTCGAATTGAGGAAAAGCTCATCATCTTCACGACAAAAGTAACCAATAGCACGAGCATCAACAAGATGACCAGAATCTCTAATCTGAAGAAGATGAATCCTCTGATAACGCAAGGATAAAATCGCTAAAAGATCATCATAAAGAAACACACCCATATTATGAGCCAAATTGACGAAATCATGAAGAAAAACCCTCTCATCAAGAACATCACCATCATCTAATCGAAGAAGTATGAAAGTGATCTTATCAATCGATGGAACACCAGGAACCGCGTCATTAGTAGGAGATGAATCGTGGATCTGAGCTGTTGAAGTAGCGAAAAGACCGAAACGACGAGTTTTGTGGTAGAGGAAGAAGTCTTTGCAGATAAGTTCGTTCGATGAAGCAAGATTGACTGAGTAGAGTTGAGTGAAGAAGCTATCGAATTTCGAAGCACGGCGAGGTAGAGGAGTGGAATCATCATCATCGGAGGTTGTTGAATATGTGAGCCAAGAAGGACGATAGACTATGAGTTCTTGGTGGTTACGGCTGAAACTAATGAGGAAGAGTCCGTCTTCTGTGAATTTGCGGAAACAGTGATCGGGAGAATCGACATCGTAGAGTGTGTAGCTTGGGACTAGGTTTTCGTAGAAGTGTCTTGCGCGATTTACCTGCCATTGAAGAAGAAGAAGAGATAAGGAAAAAGAGAGATTGAGATTGAGAGATTGAGAGAGAGATTTGGAACTGACGGAAGCGCCGGGAGGAGGAGTTCGAATCTGACGTTCGAAAACCCTAGCGGTGACGTTACCGCTTGTGAACATTTGTTGGCCCAAAAGGGCACAATAAAGGAAGGTTTTTTTTTTGAGGTTTGTGTTCTGGTTTTAGTGGTGAAAATGGAGGAGACGATGGGAGAGAGAAACTGTGGCTTGGTTTTGGTTCTGTTGATTTTTTCTTTGGGAGGTTTGGTTTCTCATTAATATGTTTAGATTAGTAATGGGCCTGAGATTGGTGTTTGGTAATGGGCCAAGAGCTGCAAAATTGGGTTATTGCCTTATTGGGTTATTTTAGGGAAAAAGCGGGAAGCGGTAAAAGATAGCGGTACTAGTTCAAGTTCGGATTCGGTTTGGGGAATCTGAAATCCCAAAACACTAGTCCCCATTCGGATATTTTTCATTAACGAGTTTGGATTTGGATCGGGTTTGGGTTTAGGGATTTTGCCCAAGCCTATTGGTACTACTTCCTCTTTGTAACAATTTCTTTTGTTGTACTGCTTGCTTTGTCTAGCTACCGCTTTTTACTTCTCATTTTGTTGATCGGTGACAACAAGAACAGTATATCCCTATACTGCAGTGGTAAGAGGTTACCGATGGGAACCATTAATCCGTTGAGAAATCGGGTTTTTCTATTAGATTGCATGAGAAAGAAAAATATTACAAGCTCATCCCATGTTATAGTGTTTAGTGATAAAAGCCTATTTTACAAATTTAAACTAGAGAGAAAATCTTTGGAGAAATTAGGTACTTAAATCAATCAACAAGGGGATTAACATTTTACCAACGGTTTCTCAAGTTTACGGAGAAGTCGAACCGTTTCTGCAAGTTGAGTGTAGAGGGAGAAGCTGAATGAGCAGATTGAGTATTCAGGATTGAGTTGGTCACTAAAAGAGAACGAGATCTTGAGAATCGCTAAAGCCAGTTTCGGATTGGAGTCTTTGACGCTTGAGGAATCCTCGAATCTATGAGAGAAAGGAACAAATCATACGATCAATATGCTTGTTACTACTGCAAGGACCCATATTTTGAGTTTCAGGTTCTTTACAAGTTCCAGCTAAGCCTCACATAGGGATTTAACTTGGACCATCATCATACACATTAGGATTTAACTTGAAAGAGATTTGAGTTCGAAGTTGAAGCTCAAACAGTTTAATCATATAAAGATGGACGTTACCCGTATCGTGAAGTCACAAATAACACTGAACAGAAACTAGATCCAACTGTACATATTCAAAGCTGTGAATAAAGCAAAATTGTAACTTAAGGCTTCACATACAATCAACAATGCTGCATAGTTTTGCCTACTGGAATTGCACAAGGGAATGTAAAGAATCGATATCGTGTATATCCGAGTTTTGTTTTACACAATCAGAAACAGAATTTGTAGATCACGAACGTGTACACTCGATACCCCGACATATAGCCAACCAAATACCAAACAGTGTCAAGCAAATAGCTGCATCAATAGCAAGAACAATCTGAACTAAACGCCGCCATTTCCATTCAAAGCTTTGAGTAACAGAACGTCCTCTACTCGATACACATTCCTTCTCCAACGACGTTCCTGCTCCCGCTCCCGCTGAAACATCGGTTCTGTTCTCCCTATCATTAGACTTTCTGTGTTCTTCAACCTCAATGCCTCTAAGTGAAATCACATGATCTTTCCCTTTCTTCTTCTCTTGCTTACTTGACCTCCCCAACAACGGAGCTTTAGTCGAATTCGAAACTTCGCTTTGTTCACCAAGATTACTCTTCAATTCATTGTTAGTACTCTCAGCAGCAACACGTTCAAGCGAAGCTATAAGTCTAGCAACAACAGGAACAAGCTGATCTTCAACATTAATAGAACCAATCATAGCAGTAAAACTTCCTCTAGAATTATTCCTCGCAGCTTTCTTGAATTCATCTCTCAAATGTTCAAGAAACTTAAGAACACTAGATCTCTTCAAAACCTCATCAACAATGGCGAAATAAACAAACCCATCTCCAAATAAAAACCCAAATCTTCTCTTCCCAATAGTTTCAAAGTACCAATTGTGAAAAGGAGGAGACTTTTCTAAACACAAAGCAGCAAGACTCTCGTTGGTTTGGTCTCCACCGTTGTAAGAGTAAAGAATCTGATTGTCTCTTGAGACACAACAGTAATGAACTGTGTTCTTGATTAAACCCATTGGAGAAAAAGATTGTCTTTTTTGTTTTTAAGCAATCAAATTGAGACAGAAGAGGAAAGAAGAGAAGTCTGTGATTAGAGCAAAGAAGAAGAGAGAAATTGAGATGAAGAAGTCAAAGAGAAAATCAAAGAGAAGAAGAAAGTACCAACAAAATCCTTCGGCGATGTATTCAAAATCGAGAATGAATTCTCTCATTCCCTCTTCTCTAGGGTTCTTGGGTCATGTGTGAGCTTTTGAGATGAGTCTATTATCTTTGTGAAGAATAAGTCAGAACTCACGACCAAACTAGAGGACGTGGTCCACAACGCTATTTTTTTTTATTACTAAATTCTATATATGTGCCTTCTTTGAAAAATTGCTAGGCGCTAGTTGGACGTTCGGTATGGACCTAGCGATTAATCGGAAAATTGGACTAAAATCAGGGAAAGTGGGCCTAGCGATTAACATAATTACAGTAACACGTAAAACTGTATTTTTGAGAAAACAGGGTGGACCTAGCGATTAAGCGGGGAGTAATCGGATTAGACGGAGATTTTTAGAACAGGGTATATATGTAACACTAGCATGATTTTAAGTTAAAAAAGTTAAGGAATTAGTAAATCAATCAAATATTCTTAAAACATAATTATACTCTCTAATTTCAATAAAAAAAAAACATTGCATTCTCTCTAGAAGAAATGTTAATCCGATCTAACACCGCAAAGACGATGACGAGTTCTCGGAGAACCTCACGAAGACGGCGACAACAAAACCTACAGTGAACATTGTGTACCAATTGTCAAGTTATTCAAGCTCAAAGGTGTTGTTATGTTTAAAACATGTTTGCAGAATTTTTGTATTCAATTTGGTTTTGTAGACTATATCTTATATATAAGAAGTGTAGTAAGCGGTATAATTCAGATGAGTATAGGAGACTGATTAGTGGGTGTGATGCTAGCAGAAAGTGATGTGGCTAGCCCAGCCCAGGCCAAAAAATATGAGTTTTGGATTTAAATTTTTGTTGTTGGCTTCTTGTTAATTCTACACAAGAAAAATTCAGATACTTATATATCCTTTAATAAATTTACTTTCAAAGTCTAATTTTGGGCTCTTATTTGTATTTTCGATAAATTCTCACTTGTTATAAACCATATGGATGGACTCCATAACCGGCCCATGCCCCATTAGGGTTTTACCTTATTTTCTGTATCCTGCTATTAGCCTTGTATATATATCCCTTTTTCATTAATGAAAGAGTAAGTTCACAACACGTTATCAGCACGAGTTTGCTCTAAAAAAAAAAAAAAAAAAAAAAACACCTTCAAAAAGCCCTAACCCTAAAAAAAAAAAAAAAAAAAAAACCGCACATCATCAGATCCGATCGCGGTACTGTTCATCGCGGTACTGTTCATCATCGACACTGTTCATCGTCGGCACTGTTCATCGTCGGTACTGTTCATCATGGTACTGTTCATCGCGGTACTGTTTGCGGTTCGTTGCAGCAGCGTGAGATACCGAGGTTTTTAGCTCCCGGTCCTAATCAATTCAAAATTCAATCAGTGGTTAAAGGTCTACCTAACTCTGAAAACCCTGAATCGAATCTGATTAATGTTCAAACTAAAACCCTAAAATCTGAAACCCTAATTTACGTGTGCATAGATTGTTTTGTTGATTAATTGAATGAATCTAAACCCTCAATCATAAAATAAAATCTGTTTTGATTAAATCCTATGCGCATATCTTAAACCCTAAAATCTTAAATCGCGATTCTCAATATATAAAACCCTAAAATATGTTGCTTGTTTTTGATTGAATTGAATCCCTAATGATAGAAATCTAAATCGCGATCTTATTCCCTAAAAGCCTAAACCGGTTTGCTTGATTGTTCTCTCATGCCATAAAACCTCCATAAATATAAATCCTAATCGCGATTGTAATCGCGAAAACCAAACCGCCATTTCCGTTTCTAATTCTAAATCGAAACCTTAATCAGATCATAACCGGTTTGATTAACCGGTTTAATCCTAATCGCGATTTAAAATGCGAAACCCTAACTGCAAGTTGCAGTTTGATTATAGACCTAAAACTGGACTTATGTTCGGTATAATCCAAAAGAAAACCGAAACCCTAAATCCTCGATTAAATCCGATTCTCGTAAACCCTAAGTCACGGTTTAAGATCAAGTTTCCCATAAATAGAAAGTTCCATATAAGGAAAGTTTCCAGAAATAGAAAGTTTTATAAAATAGCAAGTTTCCCAAAATAAAAGGTTCCCTAAAATAGCAAGTTTCCCAAAATGGAAAGTTACCAAAATAGGAAACCCCTTCATAAAGAAATATTCCAAAACCCTAAAGTACACGTTTGTTTAAGATTTTTTTCTAGATGAGAAATAGAAAGTTTCCATAAATGGAAAGTTCCATATAAGGAAAGTTTCTATAGATAGAAAGTTCCATACATAAAACCGAAACCCTAGTAAAAACCCTAGTACTATAAATCGCGGATGTTAAAACCCTAAAACTTAACCGCAAAATCCTAATATCCTAATCTAGTATGATCCGATTGTTTGGTTGTTTTTTTGTTGCATACTAGATCAATCTTCTAGGGTTGATTTCATCCACATATATATAACATGATTGTTTAGAAAACACTTGCTGAAGACAAGCATGGCTCGGTCTTAAATACCGCATGACTTGGTCTAACCGATTACATGAGTTCTCATTTAACTCTATATATTATAGATGTCAGAAATCAACTATTATGAATACACGACACTCAATGTCTCTGGTGACAATTATTTACAATGGACTTTGGACACTGAGATTGTCCTAAAGGAAAAAGGGCTTGGTGAATCTATTGTGGAAGGAAACAATGTCACCAGAAGAGAAAGATATAAGGCGATTACTAACATACGCCATCACCTCAATGAGAGTCTCAAAATCAGTACCTCACTATTAAGAATCCTCTGGACCTCAGGACAGAGTTGAAAAAAAAAAAAAATCAATATAACCACCAAAGAACGGTGCTATTACCCAAAAGCCCGATTCGATCGAAAGAATCTCAAATTCCAGGAATTCAAATCCATGAATAAGTATAACTCAGCACTATCTAAAATAGTGTCAATACTGAGATTCCGTGGTGAGGAAGTTACTGAGAATGACTTGCTAGAGAAAGCATTCTCGACCTTTCACACAAACAATATATTGCCTGAGCAACAATATCGTGAAAAAGGTTTTTACCACATATGCAAGTCTAAACTCTTGTTTTGCTATTTGATGAGCAAAAAATGAGTTATAAATAGTGAAATGAGACCTCCTGGTCCTACCCCATTATCAGAAGCCCATTGGGCTGAAGAGCCTAAAGAGACTAAAGAGTCTAACCACGTCCAAAGAGATAAGTATCATGGCCACAGTCATGGTAAATGGAATAAATGTGGTAGAAGTGGCAATTATAATTTATATGATCAAGAAAACCATTCATATGGTTAAGGCCGCCGACCCGACTTTGGTCGTAATCGAGGTAGAGGCCGCGGTATACCCAAACTACAACACTCAAATAAACTTGTTTGCCACTGATGAGGAATGGGGAAACCATTGGACTAAGACGTGCAGGACACCTAAGCATCTCGTTGATCTCTATCAAGAGAGTTTGAAAAGAATCTAGAAGCTCATTTAGTTCATCACGATGGTGAAGAAGATTTCGACCATGAGATAGATGACTATGAGATTGATTTATGAGTTATGAGAATTCAATAAACGAAATATCTAAAGACATGGTTCATTAGCCAAATTGCGGGTATAGCTAAATTTAGTGAAGGCTAAGGGCAGGCCCATGGCAGGCCCATATTCCCAAGGGCACGCATCCTCAGATGCTTCATATTCACCCATCTCAAAGGGGCTTGTTGAGTTTCAAAGAAATGTGTTTGAATGGTTTCATCATTGAAACTAAGGGTGAAGGGAACAAAGGATTCCCATATATTACTAAGAGCACCCAAGACCATGAGAAGGTCTTAGAGACTATACCCGCGTCATAGACCTTTACTATGCCAAGGTCAATATGATAAAGGCTAATACAGTAAACAAAAGGGTTTACTGAGAAAATTCACTAATGGATGACCGGCTTGGCCAGTCTGGTTCTAACATGATGCGTAAAGATGATATTAAAATCAAAAGGGTACACCCCTTAAGGACCTCACGTGTGTAGCATGTACACAAGGGAAACTCATACTAAGGCCATCACTAGTCAAAGCAACTAGAAACTTGGTGTTTGCTAGATTGCTGGCCCAGACCATAAGTCTGTGAGCCTTTATACTTAAGACTATATGTCTAGATAATGCTGGTAAATTATGTCCCAAACGTTTTATGGCTACAGTATGTCCATGAGGGGGAGAGTAGTATACCCCGTGGCACATGTCCATACTTGAACTCACAGTAGCTACTTGGGGACACGCAATATTACATGCAACAAGAGCTTATACGCATCAGGCCATTCTAGTGAGCATAGATATTCACCATCCCAACTATTCACAGGTCAGGAGCCAAATATGTCTCATCTAAAGACATTTGGGTGTGTCACCTATTTACCCATAGCACCACCACAGAGAGCAAATGATGGGACCTCAAAAGGGGATGGGAATATACATAAAAAATGATTCTCCCACCATCATTAAGTATCTCGAGCCAAAGGCCAGATACAAGGATTGTCATCTCAATGAATCCGTTTTCCCAACACTGGGTGGAGAGACTAACAAGCTGGTCAAAGAACTTACATGGAATCAAACATCCTTCACATGGCAAGATCCTCGGACTCCATCAGAGATCCAAAAGACTATATATCTGCAAAAGCTAGCTAAAACAGTTGCCAAGATTTCTATAATGACCCAAAGAGAGTAACAAAATCGTACATACCAGCTTGTAATGCACCAATACGTATTGATGTTCACAAGGAACACAATCAAGTTGCTACATAGGCTACAACACGTAAAAAATGTGGTAGACCCAAAATGTTCCAAAGACAAGAACCCTCAGAAATCAAAGAAAGGTGCAAGGGAAACCGAGAAGGTTCAAGAAACCATAGACATGGCCGGCTAATAGACATAACCCTAAGGTACCAATCAATGAGGTTTGGGACGCCAAACCTCAAGGTCCTGAAAGTGTAAAGAGATCTCTATAAACTATATCATGTCTAGAATACAATGGAACCGAAAAGATGTCGACATCAATGATAAAATATTTGCGTACAAGGTAGCAACTGAAATGAATGAGGATCAAGACGTGCAGGACACCTAA